TCCTTCACAATCAAATCCAATAATACTCACCCCTCTCTCTAGTAAGTAGTAACAACTCAAACCCTAAATCCCAAAAATGGCTCACTGGTTATCATCACTTGTCATTGCACTGACATTCACAAGCCTTTTCGCCGGTCTCTCAGCTCATCGCCATCTCCTCCAATCAACACCAACGACTCAGCCACCGGTTACAACAACGTTCCCTCCTCTTCCCAAAACCACAATGCCACCATTTATGCCTCCCTCTCTTCCTCAACCTACTCTTCCTCAACCTACGGCGTTTCCTCCATTACCGAGCTCACAGATACCTACTTTGCCTAACCCAACACAACCCATTAGTATCCCAAACTTCCCACAAATCAACATTCCTAATTTCCCAATTTCTATTCCNAACAACTTCCCNTTCAATCTTCCCACNAGCATTCCTACCATCCCATTCTTCACTCCACCACCTTCCAAATGAGAAGCTAATTAAGCTCTTTAATTAGCCCATTACTATCTTTGTCTCACACACACTTTGTTTGCTTAGTTCAATGTTTGTAATGTTCTTATTCTTTTGCTTTTGTTTGATGTTGTTCTCCTTGTTTTTTTTTTTTCTGCCCTGATTCAGTTGCTTCTGTAATATACAAAGCTTTATTTTAATGAGTACTTGTAATGTTATTTAGGATGGTTATCACCATGTTTGTAATCTTAATAGAACATTTCTATACTTCAGTTGCTTTTGTCATATACAATGTCACCTAAGAATTTAGGCACCCGGTCCGGGGTGAGTTATGGACTGGAGAAAAAGCTCGAGTCCCGAAGAAGATTATTTTCAGTTCTTCTGAAAACTGATCTCACCTAGTTTAGGATGCGTAATTACAGAATCTGTGGATCATATAATAAACTTGTTAATAATGGCCGGCCTGGATCATGGATTTAGATTTAGATTTGTTGGATCGAATGAAATTTCTGCGTCTTTTAAAGATTATATAGTTAAGAACATCTCTTCAAATTGTGGTTCCTTTGCTTCCTTTACGATATGGCTTCTAGTTTTGTCTTTCTGATAAATAAGAGTTCTTTGAATTGTTCTTCCATGGTTAGTTCTACTGTTCTGAGAGCATAAATTACTGGCAAATCCATTCTCAGCATCTTCAGGTAAATCTTACAAAACTAAGATTGATAATATGCACAGGTAAATCTTACAAAACTAAGATTAATAATATGCACAGGTAAATCATGGTA